TCTGCCTCGCTGCCTCTCCACCGAGCACAGTGATGAGCACACCATGTCTTTCCCTCCAGCAGCTCTCACTCTACCATTGAAAGTGGGTATAAACATCTAGCCAGAGCACAGGGACTATGCTGGAAATATGAATCACATGACTGCAACTCAAAAAACAAACTTCAGACAATGCAGTCCACAACATGTATACAGAACAAAATAGAGTCTCCGTGAGAGAAATGGCCAGCATAGCTGAACACCCCCCAAGTAGCTGGCACTTCATCTACATTATCTCATTGCCTTGTCTTAACAACCATGCACGGGAGACAGTATGGCCTCATCTTATGTAGGAGGAAACTGAGGCTAAGAGAAATTGTGTGATCAGGTCCAGCTGGTGAAGCTGAGGCTCTTTCCCTATTCAGTGTGGGCTTCTAAAAACACATTGCTTTGTCCTTATTCCTAATGACTGCTCTTTGATATACAGAGTAAGGGGAAGTGTTTCAGTTCAGGCAGTTATGAGATTTGCTTCCCAAACTCTGCAACAGGAAGGTGGTGTAAACACACCAAAATATCGTGCTCACAGCAGCCTGATTGTTTAGAAAGAGACTTTTAGCTCCAGATCACACCATCTGAGGCTGAAAGGGGCACTGCTGAGGCACTGCAAGGTAGAAGGCACCATGCTGGAGTTCTTCATCCCAGAGGCCGAGGGACCACTAGTGAGAAAGGGTTTGAAGAGCATTTCAAATCATAAGGGGGACGGATGGTAAGGAGGGGAGGGGAGGAGAAAGGAGAGGAAGAGGATGGAACAGACATCACACAACAATTAAAACTTAAATCTTTCCATGAAGATCCTCCTTCAGCAAATGAGATTGCCTAACCTAACCTGGTCAACCCAACCTCTGATTTCAGCTGCAAAGTGTCCTGGAATTGAAGAGAACTATAGGCAAAAAATTTATATTCAGGATTTTAGGAGAGGAGTGGAGGTACATTTTAGCCCTGAAGTCCAAGATATATCACTTCGAAAAATAGGAAAAAGATGAAAATTATAACTGCTTTTAAACACACATTTTATAAAAACAGCTTCTTTCCTCCCTCCTTCATCCCCTGACCATGTGGAAAAATACTAATTGTATGAATTAAAATCACAGTTACAGAAGCTGAAGATCAGTTTTATATGAGTTTTTACTCTTTGATGGGGAAGAGGGGTCAAGTTATTAGACTTTCCAAACAATAGAAAAAATAAAATAAAAGAACATAGAGGCAAGTGAAACTAACAGCCTTTGGTTTTCAATAGCAGAGGTGATTCAAATAAGAGCACAACAAAGGGGGATATGTGTGGCTGAGTCAAAAAAGTAGTGACTTGCGTGAAAACCAAAGGGAAGTGAACCTTGTCCCTTCTGGCTGATGAATGCAGACAGTGCCTGGAGCCTTGTGGCATCCTGCTTCCCTTTGGGACTGCTGGGGGGATTAGGTAAATATAAACATCTTCAAATAACCCGAGAAGTGAGAAATTGAAAGCATAGCAAGCTGGAGTAGTCATCAGACGATATATTTAGGACAGCTTATTTTGCAAGCTAGAATTACAGAACAGCACGATGCGGTCAATGAAAAGTATTTAAGGATGAGTTTCTATGATGGGGGTGGGTGGCAGGAGGGAGGTGTAATCCACACCAAAGAACCAGAAGAGACCACCTTTCTCCAAAGACGAGGTGAGGGTTTTAATAAACTGACTCATTCACCATTGCCCCAACAACCAGTTGCTATATGAAAACTAGTTCAAGATTTCAACAAAAGGAAGTCATTTGCAAAAGAATTACCAAGAACCCCATAAGTGTTTAATGAAAAAAAGTTACTATAGGAGAAATGGTTGCTCTGTATACCATGTAGACTACACATGTTTTTCAAGTGGGGTCCTAGCAGGGGGTAGGGCCTTTAAAAATAGACAAAGCTGCAAAATCTCTGCATTCATGGGGTTCTCTGTAGTCTGCAATGCACTGTCACATCCTGTTCTCACTAGAGCCTCATAATTACCTACTTAGGTAGCGCAAGAATTATGCTTATTTTACAGATGATGAAATTGAGGCTCGGGAAGGTTAGATAAGTTGATGTGGTCAATAAGTGCAGTTAAGTGCAGCTAATGAGTGCAGGACTGACTGAGATGTGAACTGTGTTTGCATCCAAAGCCCATACTTCTTTTTTTCTAGGCCATATATCTCAAAAATTAAAACCTGAGCTCAAAGGTGTTAAAGAATTGAAATGATTTCAACTTTCTTGATTTGCTCTGTCAAACCTGTCCCCTAAGTTGCCTCAACACTTAGTTCCTGTAGGGTTAGTCACCTTCTCTAATGCACTTCTTACTTTGCAGCTCAAGGTGATCCCATCATCTGCACGCAACTTTCCTGAAGACTGCACATATTGCCTCTGCCTTTCAGGTCTAAAGCAGTGATGGCATCACTTGCCACATCCTGTTTTGTTTTGCTATGTAATCTTTCTTCTGGGTATGACTTACCTTACCCATAGACAAGTACACTTTTGACTGGAAGAACCATACATGGGTTCCCTTTTGTGAGCTACCTGCCTAACCCCCTGTGAGGCTGGCACTGTGCTTGACACATACAAAATGCTCACTAAATGCAAACTGAATTACAAACCATCAGTTATTATCTACACACAATCAGCATTATCTGATAAATTGCTTCTTGGCATTGTATAATTTGGGCACTACAATAATTTGCATGGTATATTGTAGAAAATTTATCAATTTCATAAAATCCGTTTCAATTGCATGAGGTTCCAGTTCCGACTTTGTTTTAATCAAAGATTTTATCTTAATTTAATTTGCTATTTCACCAATCTTCCCCTCTCTTGTAGGGAAGAGCAGAGATATAGTGATAGCAAAGTAATACTAATAATAGTAACAGCAAATATTTATTCAGTGTTTATCATGTGCCAGACACATGATAAAATATTTATATTTATTATTTCAGCATTTATTATTTATTTAGTCTTTATAATCACCCTCCTCAGTTTATAGATGAGGAAACTGAGGCACAGAAAAGTAAAACAACTCTCCCAAGGTCACACAGCTAGTAGGTAGCAGATTCAAATCCACCCTAGAGACCAAATTTTAAATAAGTCACTTGGTGCAATTATAAAAATAATTCATCTATGGTCTGTTTTTTGTGGGCTTTTGTAATGGCTGTAAGCACTTTGCATGACTTTTCTACTTCAATCTTCACAAAAACACTTTGAGATTTCTGATATTGTTCTTGGGACTCCAGAATTTATTAAGCTCTGTAACTTTTAGAATACTACTTAAAGTGAGGCCCTGTGTCTCACTTTCCTCCTCTTTAAAATAAGAACATGAATAGTTGTTGTGAGGATTAAACTAGTTTATGCATGAAAAGCATTTGGAATAGTGCCTGGCATGTGGCAGAGTTCTGTGGGTGTAAGTCACTACCACTGATGCTATTGCTCCTGACCTGTCTTACCCAACATGGTCAAAAACCTGAGTTGGGGCTGGCAAGGTAGCTCACTTTGGAAAGCATGGTGCTGAGAACACCAATGTCAAGGGTTTAGATCCTCATATTGCACTGGCCAGCTGCTAAAAATAAATAAATACATTAAAAAAAAAAAACCTGAGTTATAGATACTTATTACCATACTAGTATGGCACATCGATTTCTTTTAGATCCTCATATTGCACTGGCCAGCTGCTAAAAATAAATAAATACATTTAAAAAAAAAAACCTGAGTTATAGATACTTATTACCATACTAGTATGGCACATCGATTTCTTTCTAGTGTTCAGGAAGTGCTTTAAAACAAATTGGTTTGTCAAACATAAAAAAAAAAAATGCCTAAATGAAAATCCATGCCTTTATAAAACACAATTGCACCTAGAGCCGTGACTGGCACAAATTATTAGGTCATCAAATATTTAGTCATAAATGTGTAAATGAATGAATGGGCAGCCAAATGAAGAAATAAATGATCAAAAGTTCAAACAAGAAAGTGAATGACTAGTAAGCAAAATTACAAAATTTAAATTGATCTCAAGAACCTGGGAATAAATGAGTCCGAAAGGAAAAAAATGAAAAGCACATTTTTTCTATTTTCCAAAAATTGTAGTTCAGTATTTCATTTAAACCATGTTTCTATTAAAATGCAATTCCTTTTTTCCAAAAATTAGTAGTACGAAGTCACACAAAAAGCTCATAAAGTCAACGTCCCATTATAAGAGAATCTCACTGAGGTCTCATTCAAAATTGAGGAAGGAAGTCTATGGCCAAGTTTTTACTTCATCCTTAATTTCCCACACTTTTCAAAGAGCCATATTATAACTCTTTCTCAAACATTTGCAAGAAAGTATTGTGACTGTGAAAATCCTCTGAATATCTAAGCCAAATATTTACATTCTGGCTCTTTAGTTAAACAATTAACTTTGTTCTTTAGCATTTAGATCAAAATACTTAAATGTTTTAAATATCATCAATAACAAGAAAATATGGCTTTTTTACCACATAGTCTACACTTACAAGTTTTAGCAAAACCTTCACAAGAAGGAATTGGGCAATTAAAAAATGTAAATGCACACACGCCCTCAAAATGAGAAAAAAATGGGGGGTGTTGCCACTTGTTCTTTTGAGCACAGAAACACCTCTCTTCCACTTCCCTATGTTTATGTAGTTAAGCCTGGGTGAGCATTTACATCCACTTACATCATTATAACAATAACCTCAATTTACTGATTTTATGTAGGATTTACTTCGAAGGAGTTCTTGGAGCTTAGCATGCATTAATTTATTCATTTTCATAGGATCCTTGTACATAGGCATGTGACTAGCACCTTACCTTTATTCTACAAAATTAAAACCAGACATACCAGGATGAGGAGCAACTTGCCCAAAAGAGATAAAGTCAGATAATTATTAACTTACAAAACTTGGCATAGAACTCATGTCTTCTACTAATACAACAGTTTTTCCTACTACATTATTCTTCCTTTACATAAATTGAAGACGTCACAGCGGGCAGCTGAGCAGGAAGGACTGACTACCCGAGCAAACTCCAAGATTTTTTGAGGCTGGGTTAACCCGACCCATCAGTAGCTCTGAGACTTGGGAGAAAAAACTGTAACAGATCAGCAAAATGAAATTGTGTAAGAAAAGGTAAGAAACACAAGTGTTTTATAGTAAACTTCTTTCCTCACTGGCTGCACTTTAAACTCCTGCTCTGACACTGAGTTGTGTGTCTGTGCCTTGGCACAAACCTTCCTTCTGAGCTCTTCCTTGAGTTGCTGGAACTGCTCTTGTGGGTGCTGGAAAACAAGGTTCTCCAGCAGCCAACCTAGGGCAGATGGCTTTGGGTGAGGAGACTGTTGAGGTATATTAGGTATGTCCCATCACACCAAACTGGTCACATTTATGACACTGGAATCACACATTCTTGAGGAATGAAGCTGTCCAAGGGCTCGTTGCTGCAAAAACCACAAGGAGGTATTTGGATTCCCACAGTCACCTCTCTCTAACCTGACTTGAGTTGCCAGGACTGAGTCACTTTCTTTCTTCTGTGGGTCATATTACTGGTGGCAGGTTCCACTTGTTTCAATATTTGATTGATGACAAAAGTGACCCTTGAGAGCTGAGCGACAGGGGCAGCTGAACAGGCTTCCAAGCCAGTTGCGGGAGAGACCAAGATAACTGATCCCCTGCAAAGGGGATTATGGAGACCACTGGACCAAAAGAGGGTGCCCCAATAGGTACCTTCCTCCAAAGCTCTTTCCTAGGGTTAACCAGTATTGGGTGAGGTATCAGTGTAAACAGTAGCAAGAGAGGGAGTAAACTTAAACTGCAGCAGAAAGAGTACAAGTCTGAACTTCTGAACACATTAGAACTAGCAAGAGGGGAGAAAGGATAGACTACTTAAATCTCTAAAGTAGACATCTGGAGCCCTTCTAACACTAGAATTCTCTGGAAGGAAACAGTCTTCAGACAAAGGAGGAATTTTGAGAGAAAAGGAGACAAAATCCTTCTCTACCATCTTGAAAGACACTTTCCTGAAGTCCCCTCAGCCCTGCTTTTCATGACACACCACTATCACCCATTTTGTAAATTTATTGCTGTGTTCCTGAAAATTATGCCAGGAACCGGTTTCTCCCAGCACAGCTTTTCATCCCACTCAACCTCTTAAAAGCATTACTCCTTTTCTACCATCTCTCATCAGTGGATGAAATGAGGGCCACGCTTAATTAACAAATAGAGTAAGCAATAAATAGAGTTCTATCAGCTCTCCTCTGTCTGACCCTTGCAAATCTGAGAAACATTAGAAACAGGGAACAATGTCAGGGTGTGATAGAGTTAACACATGCTTAAAGAGAAGTTCAAAGGACCTGGGGCTTTATTTCATCTTTACCACTTGCTTATCTATGCAGTAATCAGAGGCTCTCTGCCTACTTTCTCCCTCCTAAAACTTGCTGTCTGCCTCTGGATGTGTTCTAAGTAACAGGGAATCTCACTCTTGATGTACAGTCTCTCTTCCTCTTGAACCAGAAGGCGTCAATAATCAGCATTTCCATTGGTCACTCGTTAAAGGTTTTAAGTCACTCCCTCAGAATGCTTTTATTTCTGGAATGTGTGAATTCTAATCACTATAACCCCAGGAAAAAAAAAATCATAAGACGGTCAAGGTTGTCAAGTTCAAACCTCAATTTGTTTACAGTCAGCCCTTTATAATAATACAGCCGTTCCTCAGTACCCACAGAAACTCCCTTTCATACCAAAATCCATGGATGCTCAAGTCCCTGATATAAAATGGTGTGGTACTTGCATATAACCTATGCACATTCTCCCATATACGTCAGATCATCACTAGATTGCTTATAACACCTAATACAAGATAAGTGCTATGTAAGCAGTTGCTATACTGTATTCTTTAAGGAATAATGACATTAAAAAATGAATGTGCATGTTCAGTACAGATGCAATTTTTTTTCAAATATTTTTGTTCCACAGTTGATTGATTCTACAGATGCGGAACCCACAGATACAAAAGGCCAACTGCATTTGTTTCTCTCTCTGAAATCTAGACTTCCACTAAGAGAATTCACTTTATAAAATAAGAATAATTTTATAATTGAAGATTATTTCAATTTAGGAGTTGTCACTGAATTCAGCTATAACATAGACTTGGAGGAATTATGTAGCATATCAGTCTATGTCTGAATAATCTGTGATTTTCTTGACATGTTTCTTGATCAGCTACAAGCACTGATATTTGCATGATATTAAAACATCTGTAGTCAAACCAGAACATTAAATGCCCCCATGTGTTGATATAACTCCTTGGTAAATGGGAGAAATGACACAAAAATGGAAGAGTATCACAAATATAGATTTCTGAAATAAAAAGAGAGAATTCCTGAATCTCAGGCATGGAATCTCCCCTCTTTAACTGGGACATATATGTCCAAAGGGATCTATTGGCCATTTCCCCACACCTCGCAGGAATGGGGCATGTGAGAGATACACCGTTCTTCAGTCCCCTTACATTTTACAGGTGACAATCTGAGGCCCACAGAATTTAAGTGTCATGCAGTTATTAAGAGAAAGAACAAAGACCTAGGCCCCCTTCCTATCTCCTCAACATGTTCCTTCCCCAGACACTGCAGTGCTCAGTTCATATCCATCACAGAACAAATAGACTGGACTCACTCGTTCATGCAGCAAAAGTGTACTGAGAACCTACCTAACATGCTAAGCCCTGTACATAAGGCAAATTCTCAACTGTTAAAAAATGTGAGATTCCCCCCTTCCACCAAAGGAAAAAAAAAAAAAAGATCAAAAGTCAAAATGAACAGATAAATAGGTGAGGACAAGCCTTAGCACAGGCTTAAACATTGGACAGACCTGGACGCATAGCCCAACTCTACCCTTTACTAACTGTGTGACCTTTTCTTGTGTAAAAGTGTGAAAATCCTCAGAGGTGGCTTGTAAGGATTTAATGAGATAGTGTTTATTTTTTTTTAAAAGCATAGTGTCTGGACATAGTAAGGGGCTCAGTAATGGCAGTAATTACCATTACTGCTGACCCAACGGGGACTGAGAGTGGGAGAAGCAATTATGGTCCGTTTTTCTCCATTCTCCATCAGACACCCTCTGAGGGCTCTCCTTCTGGCCTTCTGAACCACACGAAGTATTGGTGAATTACAATGAGCCTTGGAAAATCACTGAGTCAGTCCTGTCTACAGCAGGACTTCTTAACTCCCAGTATCTCTCTTTCAATCTCTCTTTTCCCTCATCTCTCTATTTCTCAGGCTTACTTTCTCAGTAAATCACCACTTTTAAATTCCTTAGAGTCAGTGAGTCATCCACCAGTCTAAACTTGTGCACATTCCTGCAGGACATAATCCAGAACCCTTGCCTAATAAGTTTTTAGTTAATAGCAAGATTATCAGACTAAGATGAGAAGAATTGCTAAACTGAAAAACAAAGAGAAGTGTATTGAGAGTTTGCCCAGATAGACCTTTTCTCCTCTGTCTGTATATTCATTTGATCCATCACTACGTGGGGCATTCCATGAAAAGCTACACGGGATCCCTGTCCTTATAAGCTCTCCTGCAGGAGAGAGCACAAATCCTGGCAAACGCCCAGTGATGAACATGGAAACACCAAGGCAGTTAGGGCTATATAAAGACAGGCACGTCAGTACATCAGTGTTCAGGAGCGAGAACATCTATGAGACACGGAGGTTAGCAGAATGACTGTCAGGAGTGAAACAAGATAGCACCTGTTTGGAAAGGCTTCAGGGGGAAAGAGTTCTGAAGGGCAGGGGGGTGACCTCAGAGTTGACAAGAGACAGCAAGGCGGAAATGTCAGGAGGTAACAGAGAAGTGACCCCTGGGGAGCAGAGAGCAAAAGTGAAGAATGCTGCAAATTGCTCCAGAACACCATGGCACCCACACAATCACAGGGAACCAGAGAGCTAAATAAATCTGATTAGAAGGCAGATGCAAATTATGCTGCACTCTCTCCCCGTTATGTGTTTACCTGTATTAATTGAGTAATGAATCAGCTTTCTGCTTACATTTATCACAAACGGGAATGGGATTGTCCCAAACCCAAAGCCTAACACATAACTTCAAAAGTCCAGAAGTGAATTATTGGCCTCTTATAAATCACTGAAAGGAAGAGACATCTAGAGGTAATGGCAGGACTTTTTTTTTCTTAACTTAAAAAGTATAAGAAGAGAACTACAGAACTACCTATTTTTTTAAATTAAATTTGTCTAAATGTTTTTATCACCATGTCTTGTCACATAGGGGCAGATTGCAAGATTTTAATGACTAGAATATTTGTATTTTTGCTTTTTGTACAACAGTTCCTAATAGAACAGCACCATGTTGTCAGTGGATACTTTTATAAATACTTGTTGAATAAGCTGGTCATGCTTCTTACTCAGGTCATGAGACTCATATATGTATTGCTTTCGAGAAACTTTGATTCTTTCCTCTACAAAGTCCCTGCAGGCCACATGAGTGACAATTTGCATACTGAAATAGTAATTCTCATCTGGTGAGGTAATTCAATGTGGTAGGCACTATTCCAGTGCCCTACTCATCACAATTCCTGATAATTAAGAATACCCCCCCC